GGGGGGGGGCGCTGAGGGGCCGCGCGCGCTGAGGGGCTCTGAGGGGACTCTCCGAGAGGAGCTCGGCGGGAAGTTCGCGAATCCCGCTGGACCTCGCTGCGAGCCGGCGGGTCGCGGATTCGGACAGGGGCGTCGGAAGTTCTCCCCGGAGGGGTGCTGGTGGCCGGACATGTCGGAGGAGCGAAAGCCGTAGCATCTGTCGCCTCTCTTCGTCCCGCGGCGGCCGCCGCCGGCCGGGCTTTTGTGGGCAAGTTCGACGGCCGCGATCGCCCTCAGGGAGGGGCGGGGGGGGGAGTAGGGCCGGGGCCGCCTCACGGCGGGGACCGCGACAAATCGCGACAAACTTACCGGCGCCTGCCGCCCCGAGCCGGGCTGGCCGTGACTCCAAGTGTTTGGAACAGCAAATATTGTTAAGTTTCTCCCTGAAATGTCACCCGAGATCAGGCCGCTTATGTGCTGTGGTTTTCCCTTTCAGGTCTGGGAGCGTGGCAACGAACTGGCATGAGATATTTGATTTTGTACGTCAGCTGACAGAAAGATTTGTGAGGTGCGTGGTGCTGCCTGTAACAGCCGGGGTGATGCTGTGGTGATTCTGGGCTGTGTTAAACACCCCTCCCGTGCTTTTGCAAGCTTAGGGGATGTTCACAAACACCATAAAGTTTGGCTTCTAAGACCCCAAGTGCTGGAAAATATTGGAAACTTGCACTTTATTTTCGTGCTTGGAGCTCAGCAAAAAGGTGGTAATATGCATCTTTAAATATTTAGCCTCTAAAATTACTCTTAAGATGTGATTTGATAGTTTTTTAAACTTCTTTTTCCACAAGCCACGTGCCTCATTTCTGATGGAGTACTGTTCATATGCTGCATTTGGAGATCTTTATAAAGCAGCAGGTCTCTCTATGTGTAAATGTATGGTGCAGATCAGAAGGAAGAGAACAGTGTTAAACCTCAAACCCAGAGGGAACCCATGCCATGTAACAGTGTATTTGTTGTACATACCTGTAATCAACTTTGTTACTGCCAGCGTGTTGTCTGGCAAGTCCTTCTCCTGTTGAAATGGCTGCTGTGAAACCCGACTGACTGAGGGTTGCTGGGTTGCAGCATTTTGCTTTAAAAAAAACTCACAACAAAACTCAGAATAAACCAAAGGAATCCTCCCATACACAGGCAGAGATACTGTGGTAGGTTTCGTTAAGGAAAACAGTGCAGTGTGCAGTTGTGATCTTGGCTTGCTAATAAAGGGATACAGTTAGGCTTATATAATTAAACACTGCTTATTTTCATCTTGTAAAAAGCAAGTCTTTAAACTTCTGTAAAACTTCTGTCGAGAGGGACAACAGAAACTTTCCAAAGTTGTTTTGTGAGCTCTAGAGTTAAAAAAAAATGTAAAAATAGAGCCTGAGGAGATACTGAAGCAGCACTTCTTTGGGCTAAGTGGTAAAACACTTGCCCTCCCTGAGGAGTATGGTGCTGGTTCAGTGGAAGTCTTTCAGTTCAGCATCTTCTCCAACCAAGTGACACTCCCTCTTGCAACAGTTGCGTGGAGGTATGCCAGTGTCCCGAGTGCTCACGGAGCAGAGCAGGGATGGGATGGCTCACGGAGAGGATTGTTCTGTGGTGGCCTAAAGAGAAGTTGGCTAAAACATAACTTGGAGGTTATTGCACACAGAGTTGCATCTCAAACAGCGAAGTCTCACAGTAATCACTAGGCAATGATGCAACTACCACAGATTGAGTTTGCAAGTATTTTGCAACTAGAAAGATAGATAATCCCATGCTTTCGATTCTGATTTAATTTAGAGCATCTCAGAATTTTGTGGGTAGACTGCAAGGATGGATCCTAAATCCAAGGTCTGTGCAATTCTGTGCAGACTTGCAATACTTACATTCCCATGATGTCAAATAATTTGAAGTTGCATCATTGACGTCAGTGAACTGAAAACATAGGGTCGTTCAGCTTTACAGGTGTTACGTCCTTACGAACATGAACCTGATTAATTAATGCTGATAAATATATACAGTGAATTATAAAGTTACCGAACGTATTGGAATTGTAATGAATAAAAATTAAAAGCAAGTAGGAGAAATGTTACAAATTACCTTAGTAAAGTTCCTGTCTTGGGCTTTCAGAGCATCAGGCAGTTCTTAAGCATTTTCCACTGCTAATTGCATGATTCTCTGTAACCTTGTTCAAAGAGACAGGTTAGCTTCTTAAAAAAAGATTGAACTCCTTGATAAAAATCAATTCGTACAGTATTGCATTTTACTGTGACATTTCCCTGGATACTTTTAGGGAAGTTGATTGCCAGTCTCACAACTCTGTCACTGAAACAAAACCAGACTCACTCTGGAAGAGTTTACATGCTGCTTTTTTGGGGCTGAGGCAGTCATCAGGCACTGGTTCTGTGACTGGAGTGATTTGATGACCAAAGAGCACAGTTGGAAATTGATAGTGTGTCAGCCTGGAAAAAAAGGGGAAATGTGTCTGTGGTTAATACCCAGAGCAGGGGGAATTCTGCATCTGTGTCCCTGGCTTTGTGTTACACCAGCGACAACAACAATACCCAAGGAATGTGCGTTACCTTCTCTGTGGGGAGAGATCATATCCTGGGAATTCACTGGACTCTAGTTGAGTGAGAGAGAGTAGCAATTCTGCTACTTTGTTCTCAAATCATCTGAGTAAGGAAAAGATGGGCAGAAATCTTTTAATTCCTCTCATTTTGTGTTTGTGGTTCAAAAGGATGTTCCTAGGAAGCTGGAGGGTAAAGATGATGTGAATGAAGCCTGAACAAGCGAATGAAATGCTGTGCAGCTGTACGTTTCTCTGACATATATTTTTTTTCCCTCTTTCCCTTTTCTAAAGCCCCAAGATGAGATTATCGTTTATCGTGTTTTCCACTCAGGCACACGTCATCATGCCGCTCACTGGAGACAGGTTAGTGCACTGCTTTTAAATTCCCCCTCCATCCCCCCAAGGGCTCTTACTGAACCAAAGGAGCAGTAACAGGTCAACAGCTGATACCTCTAAGTGGTGGCTAGTCGTGAAGCCTCCATGCAGAGCTGATTTAATTTGGTGACCGTATCAGTGGATAGCCTTGTAAAAAAGGAAGAAGTGGAATGATGGGAAACAAATCCTTGATGTTAACTCTGCCACTGCTTTGCAGAACAACACCAGTAGTGTATTCATCTCTGTGTGATTCTGCATCTCCCTTGGCCCAGCAGGAGAATGATTTTTGCATTTACTGTTGTAAAGCCATGTCCGTAGATAAGTTTTCAGGATTTTTTTCATCTCTAGGAGAAGCATAAAGTAAATAAATGTTTCCTGCAATCTCACATAAGGTAGGTATTCTGGTTTGTATTTCCTAAATAGGACTTCAGATTCTGGTTTAAACAGTGAAGTTGGTGGCACTTGAGGGGTGTGAGGTCTTCCTGGCACCGTGATGATGTACATATGTGCCTGAATTCTTCTTCCAGTTGATGGTTTCAAAGGCATTGGAATTCAAGGCTGCTCGCTCTGATTTCTAAAGCAAGTAAGGATTAGCAGTTAGGATAGCTCAAGGATGAGTGAGGGGAGACAGAAGGAAGAAACCAGGTAGAGAAGAGGAAGTTGCAAAAATAATTACTGGAATCACACAAATTGGGAAATGATCTTGTGGAATGAGTGCTTTTGGCAGCAGACAGTGGCATTGCTGTCGAGAGTCCTTCCGTGTTCTCTCAGCCTTGTCAAAACCAACATGACCTCCTCTTCCTTTTGTCCAGAACCTACTGCGGCACACAACCTTCTGGATTTTGAAAATGTGGGTGAAGCGTTTAGGAATAATTCCAATTAACTGTGGCTGGGTGGAAGTGAGATGGTCCTTCCTTTTTGCTTCCTTTAGTAGGTCAATGCAAAATGTGGTCTGCCATAGTTGCTTAATTTCTGCTATGGCGTTGTTTGATTGTTTTAAATAATACATAAGGGCAAGTACAAGACTTCCTGAAAGACCTGTCATGGGCAACAGACAGGAGTTAAGCTTACAGAAATGTAGCTGACATCCGAGATGCCTAAAAATCCAATTCTAAGCCCCTCCTGTTTTAGCATTTGGACTTGAGAACAGCCACTTCCAGATGGCTTGAGAAGGGTCAGAAGAGGACACTTGAGCCTGTTCTGAGGCCTGCTGAAGTCAATGAGGTCCTTTCTCTCTGTTAAAATAGGCCTGTCAGTGGCCTGTTCCTTATCAAGCACAAGAGCCAGCACTGATAGCACACAGACCACTTGGAATGCTGGGCAGGATGCTGGAGCCCTGCCACAGGAACACAAGTGCCTTTTTCATTGCCTGTCTGTGGCATGCTTGTAGCCATGGATAGAGCTGTGTTTAAAGCACAGAAAGAACCTC